TTACTTTATATTTTCTTGAAAAATAATCGGTAATATTAGCCTTATTATTTTTTTGATACATAAAATATTAGTGACTTGTTTCTCTATATTATAATAATTAGAAAAATTGACGTTGGGTGAGCCCTCCAGAAAACTCCTTATTACGAGCGGTTAGGACTTTTTTAGGAAGGTATACTCTTCTCTCCAGAGGAACTTGTGGCGGCGGTGTAGTCCCTTAAGTCGCGCAAGACTTCCGGTATAGTAAGAAGAGCGGCTCCGCTGGTGAGCGTAACGCCCAGTAACGGGGTGTATTATAAAAAAGGACTACTACAATAGGGATCAAACTTTAAATACGTTTTTTTAAGATTCTCGCAAATTTTTAAAGATTTAAACAGTACTAAATACAGTTCGGTAGTAGTATTCATAGAAGTCAGACGTGCCTTCGGTACAGCGATAAACGAAACAAACCGCCGCATTATCGTTTATTGAACCACCTTAAATATCGTCAATAGCGGGGGAAAACCCCCTGATCTTACACTCGCAAAAAAAAGGAAATATATTCGACAATTAAAGTGATGCCGAAATGGATCATTCTGTAAGTACTACAATTCCTATAAATTTGATGAATAATCCAAATACAACCAACTTGAATGTTTACACTGAAACACAACAAAAGGTGACAAAACAGGTAAGGCAAGCGTTTTTATTCAATAGTAATGACCTATGCCCGTATCATGTATATATCGCAAATAACTCTACTTAGTTTAATGGTAAAATGGTTTAATGAAAAACTAAATTCTAAACTAAAGATAGGTGAAATTATTTTGTCTAACTTTCCCGAAGCAGACAATATTTAGTTTAAATAATTTAGATATGTATAATTTAAAATTAATTTTACACAGACAAGGAGTTATTAGGGATTTATCCTACAGATTTATCGAAAAATACCTTATAAAAAATAAAATAAAACAGTATGATAGTCACTGCATATTTGACATATCAAACATTAAAATAATTAGGCATAGAATTACATTAAATGTAGAAAAAATTATTAATGAGAAAAAAATTGTCGAATGTGCTCCTGCTAAATCTTGTATTGAGACTTTTGAATCGCAAAATTTACCTAAATTATATAGTCATTAATAAGGTTATTAAATAAGACGAAATATATAAGCAGAAAGTTCTATTATGGTTCGAATCGGTTGTTACAATTGTTAATTCAATTAAACAAAATAATAATTTCAATATTTTAAAAGCTGATGTAATTCAGTTGTTATGCCATCCTTTTGAAATCCAACATAAAATGTGAAGAAATTTTTTAAAATAGGTAGTCGTTTACATAAAATATTTCAATAAAAATGTCACCTCTCGATAAACCCTTACATATAATTTCTCTATATAATGAATCCAGGAACAAAGTTGTAATTCAACAATGGATCAATTTTTTAGAAAATATACCAAAATCATTTATAATAGGAGGCGATTTTAACGGACACAATTTGTCGTGGGGCTGCGAAGTTGATGATAGATTGGTTGAAGATCTTCTAGATGATAAAGATATAGGACACTGTAATTTAGAATATTAAGAATATTAAGTTTCCTTAAGTAAAGGCATTAAGCTATCTTTGTTACAATCTATGGAAAACAACAAATTAAAAAACACAGATATAATTCTGAATGACTAACGTGAGACAAACAGTTCTCGCCTCCTCAACCTATTTCATTAAAGACTATAAAGTGTAAACGCATGCCAAAAATAGATCACTTGAGAAAGGCAATCAGACGAAACAGTTGTAGTGATAAGAATTTAAAATAAATTTTGTGGAAGTTTGAAAACGAAGTTTTCAATGTTTTATTGTTACATAAAATGAATTTCCATTAAGTAACGGTCGAATCCATTAATAGGTACTTTGTTGGCTTGTTGGCGGTTTTTAAGACAATTACATTTTTGCCAGACATCTTTTAATGGTGGTCTTGAGTTTAGGCTTTCGTAAAATCAATCAAATTCTTCTTTTTCTTCTGGTTGAAGATTTTCTTTACAATAGCGTCGAGTGGTTTATAGTCCATTAGATTTTGGAGCATTGGATTCTATTTATATTTATTAATAAACGCATGTTTTCTACTTTCTGCATCTAACTGACAATGATTGTTCCACCATTGTTTTGGAATATGATCTCTGTTTCTTTCCGTAATGGAAGTTTGAAAACAAAGTTTTCAGTATTTTATTGTGACAAAGTACCTATTGCTACAAAAGATACATGGTTGCAGGAATTTCACAGAAAAATTGCCCCGGCATGGGTTCCAAATGACGATCCCGTACAAGAACATATCCAAACAGTATACAAAACTACAATTTTGACGAAAATTTTCATCTATGGGAATTGCATCGAGCCCTTGAACAGATAATATATTGAGAAGAAATAATACTTCTTCAGGTATAGATAATGTGTCATATTCGCTGTTGTACAACTTACCGATAGAATATACAAGTTCACTAGTAAACATTTTCAACAATATTTGGACAAGTAAGACACCAGTACCAAATAGTTAAAAAGAATACATGGTAGTTCAGATTTAAAAACCTGGCAGACCAGAACGTGATCCAAGTTCTTACCAACCTATCTCCTTATCTTTATGTGATTTAAAAACATTTTTGAAAAATTAATTAATTATTAATTAATTAAGTAACGATCACTGGTAACTCACATATTTTACTTTCATAATGTACATTTACCTACAGCTTTAATAGGCTGACCTAAAACAGTAGTAAAGTTGTAATTTACAGGTTTTAAAACTAAATTTAGTACATCCTTAAATTTTGAACAGAGATTACTGTTGTACATGAACCAATATCTACCCCAAAGGTTAAATTTTTATTGTTTATCTTTAAGGTTACATGTTACGTAGAATTTGACAAGCTACTTACTGTATGAAGATTAAATAAGTCATTATTTACCTCATCACCCTCAATGTTGTACTATTTCTCTTATACCACATTCATAGGTTGTGGTTGAATATCTGGACACACATTTTTGAAATGACCAAACTTTGAACAATTAAAACATCTCTATTTTTCAGCAGGACATTTAACTCTATGACTTTTGCCACAATTTTTACTAGTTATTCTCAGTTGATTGTAGATATTTTGATATGTACCAAGAGTTGATCTAACTTTGGATTTTTTGCTTTCCTGTGTAATACATTTATCTTACCTTCCTCGGACAATAATTTCACTTGTTTCTGTGCTACTTCTGAGGCCAAGGCAAACTGACAAGCACCCTGAAATGTTAATCCTATCTAAATCTGCAACTTCTTTCGGATTCCTTCGTCCCTAACCCCACAAAAACACCTATCCCTTAGAGCCTCTTCTAAAGTTAAAAATTATAAGAATTTGCTAACTTCCTTAGCTCTAATCTAACACTGTACTCAGAGATAGATTGATCAGGTTTTTGTTCACAACGATTAAAAACAAAACGTTCCTAGATTTCGAAAACAGGTAGAGAAAAATGTTTAATCAATTTACCTTTCACTTCTTCAAATGTAAAGTCGATTGGTTTCTGTATGACCACTAAGTTTTTACTCGTGAAAAAGACTCGTACCTCCTAATGTGATTAACATTGAAACTTTCATATTTTCTTCTTCAACATTAACAGTGAACACATATTCTAATCTTTCTATGTAGGACGTTGGACTACAATAAGTAATAAAACACCTTTCTCTATAAACCCTACCGTAAATAGCAACTTGGAACCTTGGAGACCTATTGGAAGCCCGAGAAAGTGATGGGAGGATGATATATAAATGAGGACACAAGAAATCTCCTTGGCAGTCGAACGTAATGAACGAAAAGGTTTACTGAGGGAGGCCAGAACTCGATTTGGGCTGTAGATCCATAGGATTAATAGATACCAAACATGATCGAAAATTCTTTATATATATTATATATAATTACGTTACGGGAAAAATTTGAATCGGATTGATTAGCTATATCATATTGATTAGCAATATTATCCATACAAGAACGAGTGATCAGTCTGATAGAATTTTTTGTTTGAAAGGCACGTTTAAAGGAACTCAATTCCATTAATACAGTTACCTGTAATTAATTACCTGATTAATAAAAATCTTTCACCTTTAAAGTTTACTTGTAATGCAGTAAATCTCTCATTTTTATAGGATATTTAAAAACATAAACGATGGTCTCAAAAGGAAACTTCATGGTAGATGTTAGAACGAAGTTAACCAGCCATATATATTTAAAGAGGATTCATGATTGATATCCTGTTGCTTTAAATAACTACAAAAAATGTCGTCTGAATTATGCAGAAAATGTCACCAGAAATTTAGAGATGTAATATTATCCAACAAAATTGGGGTTACTTTAGCACATATAAACAGTAAAGTGATATCAAAAGTGTTATAAAAAAATATTTTAATTGTGATATGGGTATGGATTAGTGATATTGTGACAAATAGATGATGAATGGCCAAAATTGTCCGAACGGTCCGATATTGTGGTACTGAATAAAACAGTCAAAATTGTTTCCAATTAATATCGCTGTTCCTACTAATACCAAAGACATTTAATAAGCATTGGGAGACAATAGCCATATATGCAAACTGGCCTATAGAAATCCAACAAATGTATCATGTGGCTAATGTTGAAAGTGTATCAACATCATCGTTTGTATTTTGAGAACGATTTCCGAAGCGAAACTTCAGCCTTTAATTGTGGCGTATTCCCATTCAAATAGTAATTGCAGCAATAGGTTTAGTGACGGGAATTATTCCAAATGGTTATTACAATATTATTTAAGCTAGGAGTTTAGTTAGACGATCGACCTCATTCCCTTGATACTTTTATCCAAAAAGCCATATTTTTTTATCCATAATTTTTATCCACCTTAAGCTGACATAGTGTAAGTCAATAATACTAATGTTGAAGTACAGAATATTATTTATTATTTTTATCTATCGCGTCTTCTCTTGTCATTTAATTACACGGTATTTTCTGTCATACGAGACACTACAAAATAATAATTTGGTCTTTGATATCAGTAAATTTTATTACAAACTTTACCATGAAGTGTAATTGTGATAAAAAAATATCATCAAAAAATGATGAAAATGATGGAAATATGTTCCAGAATAGAATTATTTATTCGTTGCCGGTACACATAGGTAAGTACTTTTCTCATGATATAGTTTTATTTAATTTTTGTATTGTTTAATTATGGATATTTTGCAAGAACTGTTGATATTGAAAACTGGAAATTTTCAATTCATTTATCACTTCCTTACTCAAGATTTTGTCTTACCTCCTAATGTAAACTATGTAATGTAATGTCCGGTTTATAGCGTCCTGTGCCTTCCGATTCCCAGTCTTTATTCATGTATATCGGCCCAGTCTCCTGGTCGTAGACCTCTCTGTTACATTGCTTTTTGGACTTCATCAAGCCATGTTCTGTTCGGACTTCCTGGTTTTTTCGTTTAGCTGGCTGCCTAATAATTACCTGCGGTAGGCGATGGTGTGCCATTATCTATACATGTCCGCACCAAATAAACTGATTTTGCTGTATTTCTTCTATGATGGTGGTTATTCTGACCATGGTGTATCTTATTTTTTATATTATACGTGCATCATTCTGGATTCTATACCTTCTAATCTGCGTCAAACATCTATTTTCAAAACAAGAAGTTTTTTTCCGTTCTCTTAGTGAGTTACCAGGCTTTTCATCCAAAAACTGCTTTTAAAAATGCCATTATATAGCTGCATCTTTTTTGTTTAGAGATACTCTTTGACCAAATTAGTGAGTTTGGTGCGCTTATTATTATTATTATTATTATTTTCCCTTTTATGATTCGACATTCGATTTCTGTTTCAGTGCGTTCAGTTCTTTCTAATTTTGCCTCCAAAAAGATATATTCAGAACATGACGAAATTACATTTACATCTAAGTTTATTTTATCGTTTTAACTCCTATGCATATGTATTTATGTAATTTATTTTTATTAAGTTAATATTTAGTACCCATCGCAGATCCAGACCCAATTGCAGATCTTTCTAGCCTTGTGCGATGACTATACAGATTGCTATACAGCTATGGTACAGATTTCTACTTTGAAGCTTCTGTATTTGAGCGTGAGTGTCTGTTATCAAGCTAACAGCAGAAATTATTCCACTGTAGCCTTGATTCAGTAATGACATAGCTGCTGCGCTATGCCAGGTTCTCAGTTGGGCCACGGGTGCTTATTTGGTAAGATCTTATTCACACCTATCCTACATTTCTCTATCAGCTAGTAGGACGTGCTGTGTCGGGTTGAGGACTCCCAGCTCATCTGTCTTCCGCAATATTAGTACCATTCCAGCTAGTATGGTGAGTTATTGTAACGTAGTTCATTCAGTTAGTACGGTCTACTCGCTACATAATAATTATAGATAAGTGATATTATAGGTTAATTTTTTATTAACTAAAAATTAATTAAACTAAAGTAAGAATTGGCAAGTTAATAAACAAACAAACACTCTGAGAAGTATTTTTAGATTAGGCCGGATTTGATGTACCTATTTAGATGAAAAATATCCTCAAAAATGCACCCTACAAGTGAAAAAGGTAAAAAAAATCAAGTTCAATTATTAGAAGAATAATTGTGTTTTCTCCTTAAAAACAACGTAGTAAGGTTTAAATTTTAAATTTTTATTTAAAAAACGGTTTCCAATAAGCCGGACGAAATGTCAAATTTAGCAATTCCTTATCTATAGAACTTAACTACAGAAAAAAATATTACAAGAAATTATTTTTTGAACAATATGAACTATTATTAAGAAATGATTATTATTTTAAAAATTCTAGGCATGTGGGATGAAGAAATGGCATTAAGGGATGAGAAAATGCGAATAACTGCTTACAAAAGAGATAATTGTCAATTATTAATTCAAAAAACAAAAAAGATGTTTCGAAATGTATTAAAAGCGACAGTATTGGCTATTGAGTCGCCTTTTGTGTTATATGGACAAAATTATCAATTGCGAGCTTGTGATGTCATTACCAAAGACTCATCCGGTTTATATTTATCAGGTTCGTTAGTATTGTATTTATTTAATAATCATAAAAAGCTAAATAGTTAATATAATTTGCGTTTCTAATTGTAATTCCTATAACTTAAAAAGAATTTATATTCCTTCTGGTTCAAACGAAGAAATTTATAGGAATCATTAGGAAGCTATTGATTTTTCGTAATGACTGCAAATGTAATTATTACAATTAAGTGTGTCTTTTTCCTATATAAATACAATATTTAATTGCAAAATAGTATTCATCGTGCTGCAATATCTTTTGATTTAAAGTATCTATGAGTATCCCTTTACTTGTGGCACGTACTTTATATGGGATACTAGGTATTTATTTTGTTAGTTTTACTTCATTAGGTAATTTTTTAAGTCATAATATACCATTTAACCACAATTATTTTTAACTTCAATGTGGTATGTCCACTACGAAGTCCCACCCATACGTAGGGAAGATCTGAGAATCCTGACATAAGAGGCAATACCGACACGACACAGTGGGTTTTGGTTTTATTTTTAGTTGAAGACGTCACTGCGTAGTGCTGCTGCAGTGCTGCTTAACGGGTGACATCGCAGTTAGCGCTCAGTTAGTTTCTATCATCCAAGCAAACTAGTTATTTTATCCTGAATTGTTATGTGTTTTATTAGTTTTTGTCTAATTATTGACTCTTTTACACATAAAGGTAACTCTATAGGGGGCAAATGGAACGAGGAGATGCTAAAAAGGGCATTTAAATTGGTTCAAAGTGTGCGAAGAATTACGCTTCATAACCGTCTCAAATATAATTCTATCGAAAAACCATTGAGAATTTTCAGCTTTGACTTTTCAGCACAACAAGAAGCTATATTAGCTGATCACATAAAACAACTATCAAACCAGTTTTATGGCATTACAGTTTTATGGTAGGTTTGTAGTATCACTTCCCTTGAAATCTTCCGTCGACAGTATAGGCGACTCTAAGACTAAAGAAGCTTAATGCGAATTTTGAATTAAAAGATGATTACACTCGATTTATCGATGAATATTTATCCTTACACCATATGTCCGTTTCGCCTTTTGAAACTATAGGATTTAAGTTCTTTCTTCCTTATCATTGTGTCTATAAAGGCAATAAAATTCGTGTTGTGCGTGTGTGCTGTTGTTTCTTTTGACTGTGGACTTAATCCATTAGCCGAACTGTTTTTGACGGTTCTGCCAATACAGATACAGGTGTTTCCCTGAACGACATTCTTGTGGTTGTACCTAATTTACAAGATGATCTTTTTACTACCATCTCACGTTTTCGTAAACATAGTTTTGTACTAACAGCCGACATAGAAAACATGTATCGATAAATACTGATAAAGGAGGAAGAACGCTCGTTACAAAAGATCACATGGCGATTTGATCATACAAACTCTCTCGAAAGTTATACTTTAAACACCGTAACTTCGGTACTGCTTCTGTTAGTTTTCTTGTCACTAGATGTTTTAAAGAAGTGACACATATGTATGCAACCGATTTTCCTGACATATCTTCTATAATTTGACACTTTTCATTTCAATGTTCAACCTATAGAGCACAAGTGTAAAGTTACAAAAAGACTTATTCTTTCCACTATGTCGAAAATATTTGATTCACTAGGTTTGCATTCGGCTGTAACTATAACAGCTAAAATTATTCTCCAAGATTTGTGGAAATTAAAAATTTCCTGGAACGAAGTCGTTCCCATAGATATCTTTACGAAATGGGTTACACATCAGACTCAACTGGTTAAACTTAATCAGTTACAACTTCCTAGGTATGTAATTTGTACAAACTACAAGTCAATTTAACTACACGGTTTTTCAGATGCATCCACCACTGCATATGGTGCTTGCATTTATATTCGTTCATCTAAAAACTTCGAAAAGTTTCGTTGTCATCTACTTTTCGTTGCTCCAAAACCAGAGTAGCTCCTTTGAAACGCATCCTCACGGTACCGCGCCTAGAGCTTTGTGGAGCTTACTTGCTAGCTGAGTTAATAGACAAGGTAAATCAACACATGCAATTAGATTTCGAAGAAGTCACTTACTGGTGCGACTCCACTATTGTTCCAGGATGGATAAATACATCACTTATCGGATCTGAAATGTGGTTTCATGGTCCATCAAGGCTAGTTAAACCAGAAACTTACTGGCCTAATACAACATTCGAACCTTCTAAACTCTCTGAGCTTCGATCAGTATCAGCCCTTATCGCAAGAGTTCACATGAAATTGGACATCATCACTAAAATATCGCCATTTGAAAAATTACAACGCATTATCGCTTATGTATTACGCTTTATAAAGAATTGTAAATTGTCTCCTAAACGAATGAGCTTCGATAATCTTTCTTGTGAGGAAATACAAAATGCTTTAAAATATATAATTCGACTAGTACAAAATGAAACATTATAATTAAAAGACATAGTAACGTTGACTCTAAAAGTAAACTAATTACCCTCAATCCGTTTATCGATAAGGATAACATACTCCGCGTTGGTGGAAGACTACATTCTGATTTTTGTTACGATAAAAAACATCCCATTGTTCTTGATTCTAAACACTACTTTACTACTATTTTTGTACGAAATGAGCATCTTACCTTAAATCATTGCGGTCCTCAACTACTATTAGCTTCCATTCGTGAAAAATGTTGGCCCATTAATAACTGTCAAGTGGTTCGCAAAATCGTTCACGATTGTATTATCTGTTGTAGGGTGGCTCCTAAATTAGAAACCTATCTTATGGGTATTTTACACTCGTTACGTCTTGTTCCCTCTAGGCCATTCTACAACTGTGGACTTGATTTTGCAGGACTTTTTTGCTAAAGGATCGACACACCCAAAATTATAAAACTATCAAGGGTTACATAGCTCTATTCATCTGTTTAGCAACTAAGGCCATACATTTAGAAGTCGTGAGCAGGTTGACCACGGAAAGTTTTCTAGCAGTACTAAAACGCTTTATTTCTCGACGCGGAAAATACGCTTCTATCCTCTCGGACAATGGTAGTACCTTCGTTGGCGTAAAAAATGAGCTTGTCAAATTTTTTGACACCTCTAGTTCAAATATTAGGGACAATTTAACTAACGAAGGTATCAATTGACAGTTTATTCCGCCACGATCAGCTCACGTTGGAAGAGTTCTTTGGGAGTTTGGGAGTCAAATCTGCAAAATTTCACCTAAAGCGTGTCATTGGCAATACAATTCTTTCATATGAAGAATTTTCCACTGTTTTATGTCAAATTGAAGCTTGCCTAAACTCAGGATCACTCTCACCAATGTCTAACGACCCTTCCGACTTGCTTCCTCTTACTCCAGCACACTTTTTAATTGGATCCACATTGACTGCAATACCTGAATGGAATTTCTTAGATGTCAAGGAAAACAGCCTTATTAGATTCCAAAGGCTTCAAAAAATGGTCCAAGGTTATTGGACTAGGTGGTTCAAGCTTATTGGACTAGGTGGTCCAAGGAATACATTTCATCCCTCCAGCAGCGAGTTGAAAGGAAAAACATTTTAACAGTCTTCTCAGAATTGGAAGTCTAGTAACGGTGAAGTAAGATGGAACTGAAACGTTAAGATGGTGCCTGGGTAGAGTCACTCAATTACATGCGTGTAGTGACGGAATAGTTCGTACAGTGACAATTAAAAATAACAGAGGTTGTTTCAAGCGACAAGTCACAAAGGTATACGTCTAAACCACAAATCAGTGAGATAAGCTTCAGCGAAAAAGAAACTGTTCGTCCCGAATCTGAAGCTCAAAATGTTGAAGAGTTAAAAAAACAAAAACAATTATAAGTTGAAAATAAATCAAAAATAAAATTGGGTCCATTAAAACGCAAGGCTGCAAATAAAGGGAGAAGGTGTCAAAAACAAGTTAATTTTGAAGAATCAATTTGTTGACAGTTTTGAATTATTATTCGAAAACACTGAAATGTGTTTGGTTTGTGGTGAGTTTGGTGTAAAAACTAAACTATGGTGCAGATATGTATTTGTGGACAGTGGGCTCACGCTAAGTGCAGTGGGTATGATTTCCCTGAAAACCCTGTGTTACTTTTGTTCTATGAACTAAGTTCTTTGATGTAAAAACAACTTTTGATCTTTAGTATATCTACATAAGTATATATCTGCTTATCTTGTTCTCGTTCAAGTATTTAATGGTTTCGTGTCCAACGATGCTATCAGTTGTCTGATTATTTTCTTATTATTACTACTGTCGGCATTACCCTAAACATCTGTCGAAATTACCCCGGTGATCGGGGAAATACCGGCACCTTGCTATAATTAGGGAAATATTGTTTTAACACACGTAAATGACATTGTTTTGCTAATATTACATATTAATGGATGCGGAAAAGCCCAATTATAGTATAGACTTTTTTCGCAAAAACTATAATAATATAGAACAAATCTGAAAATTTAAATTATCTAAAGTGTCGGGATTGCCCCGGTCTACCCTATCACTGTATCAGTCAATCTAAATGTGTATGTGTATATGTGGTATTGTATTATATTCCGTTTTGCAAATTATTGATAGAAAAGTTTTTATGACAAAGCTAATTTGTATTTTATGTTGAATTGTATTCGAAATTTGTCGAAGTTGTCTTGACAATTAATTCTTTTATACAACTAAGACAAGATAGTATCGATATTTTATAATTTTTCTGCCCTGAACAGTCTTGTATAAAGATCGTTGTAATTTTCGACGATAAAAACTTTGCTATCATGCATTTCTAAATCAACTTAAGACACAGCTTATTTTCATTTTATGTATCGATATTTATAATTTTTCTGCTTTGAAAAATCCTGTATAAAGATCGATGTAATCTTCTACCACAAAAGCGGTGCCATCATGCATTTCCAAATCGAGTATAATTATGTTTAATAATTAGGACTATCTAATACCTAAGTGTTTGTGACAGATATTTATATAATCAAATTTTGACACAATATATAAAATCTTTATAACCACATTTTAACTTACGAATACTAAAAATTCTACATGGAAATAATTTGTAATTCTTATTAGGGGTAATCAACGAGCGAGACATAGATTATGTACAACACTTCAAACATGGATGCGGGTTATCTGCTTCTCATCAAAAACAGCCTTGCATCCGAAATACGTTTAAGTAAGTATATGCGAAATATGTGCACAAAGAGGAATTCGTAAATAACACTCATTAAAGGATCATGGGAACAAAATCAAATAAAGAAGGTCAGCAAGTGGTTTACGGTCAAGATGTCTTTATTCAAATTTGTGAGAGTTCTGGTCCACCTCTTTATTTACAATGTGAAAATTTCACAGTGGATACCTTTGGTCGACATCTCTCAGTAAGATTATCGGAATGTCCAGATATTTATTGCAGGTACTGCTTTTATTTTTCTTATTTATTATATCTTGATACCGAATAATATATACCGATAACCTATAATACCGAAGCATCTAGATTTGTTAGTAAACAGTTTGAAATAAGAAAAATGTTGGATTCAGTTGACCTCAATCATAGTGGCACTTACAGGCGAAGAAATGAAGCACTAAAAAGCGCTAAACCTACCAATTTTTCGTAGCAAGATGAATCACTGTGCAACTTTTTGCATTTGATTTGAGAGAATGTCAGAAAAGTTTGTGAACAACATTTATGATGGTAAAATGAAATATGCATGTTGTGTATAAGGAAAATTCATTTTGAAAATACATAGAAAATGAAAAAATTGCAACTCAGAAAATATCGAAAGGAATGAGTTCAATATGATAACGACAATGGTCTCGAGCTACCTGGTGCCCGTGTGGACATCATCGTCTTCGGGAGTTTTGTTATTTATAATATGACGGCGACGGTTACCAAGCCACCTAGTGGAGGGTTGACCTCGTGCCGTGTAGTTTTATTTTATTTTTCATTCTAAATCAATCAAAAGCCATTACTTAGGGGTTTTGGGGTCGTTGAACACGAATATTATGACGGCGATGGTCTCTAAGGTAATTTGTGTCGAGGGTGATGTCTTCTTCTGAAATTTCATGTTAATGTGTCTATGCTGGCCACCAGATACCTTGGTGATCATCGCCGTCGTAATATTCATGTTTAGCGACCCCAAAAATTTCCGAGTAATGATTTTTGACTAATTTAAAATAAAAATAACAAAACTCCAGGAGACGAGGTCCAAACTGGCTTCAGGTAGCTCAAGGATCACGGCTGCCGTAATATTTGTATTCACTTACCTGGAAAACCCAGGACTAATTACTTTCGTATAAAACTAGCATAAAACTTCCGAAGACGAGGTTCACCCTGGGCACAGGTAGCTCGAGGATAATCGCCGTCATAATATTCGTGTTCAATGACCTCGAAAATTTTCCAAGTAATGACTTTCCACTGATTTGGGATGAAACTAACATAAAACTCAAGGAGAAGAAGTCCAACTTTGGCACCAGGTAACTCGAGGTTCATCGTCGTTATCATATTCGTATTCAGCAACCACGAAAACCACCGATTACAAAATAAAACTCATTCCTGTCGATATTTTCTTAGTTTCAAATTTTTGTATCTTTTATGCACTTTGGAAATGCATTTTTCTTGTGCGAAAAATGTAATTTTCATTTTACCTCCATGAATTTTGTTGACACTTTTATGAATCGAATGCAAAAAGTTTCACAACGATTCATCTTGCTGCGCAAAATTAGTAAGTTTAGTGCCTAAAACGAAGCACTAAACCTACTAATTAGGCCTATTAGTTTTGGAGGTAAGGGAATAATCAAGAAAATCGTACGTAAACAAATACTCTAGTCTAAAGAAGGAAATTATCATTCAGGAAAAAATAGGTCAAAATGGATTCTTAATATACTCTTAGTAACAATGGAACAAATGCTAAACAGAAAAAAAGTATGAATGCGATATCACAGTCAAATATATTATGGATCTTCTGGAAATAAATAAAGTATAATGTAACATCACAGAATAATTAATGAGAGCACTATTATATTATTAAACCATGTTAAACTCATGAAAATCCGGCAAAAATAAGCAATACCTATTTCAATCATTTTAAGGTGAGGTGGGTTTTAGACGCCCAACATAATATTTTTTTGTTTTCGTATGGTTAAATATGTATGGAGCAGAGGCATGGACACTCACTGATGCGTCTTGCAGACGGTTGCAGTTTTTCGAGATGTGGTGCTATCGTCGCATGCTTAGAATATCATATGTACATCATATAACTAACGACGCAGTAATGCAACGTTTACAAAAAGAACCTGAAGTCTTGAAATCCATTAAAGATAGAAAGTTAGCATACTTCGGACATATGGTGAGAAATGAAAATAAATATAGAATCCTACAATTGATATTAGAATAGAAAATAGAAGGAAATAGAGGACAAGGACGCCGCCGAAGATCCTGGCTTAAGAATTTGAGACAGTGGACAGGTATGACCACCACAGACCTATTTCGAACAGATGCTAATAAAATACGAAGGGCCATTGTGGTAGCCAACATCCTAAGAGAATAGGCACTAGCAGAAGAAGAATGGTTAAATATGTTAAGAGTAAACACAGATTGGCCATAGTTAATTGGCCTGAAGGAAAAGTGTTGAGGAAAATACTATAATATCCTGTCCTGAAATTGGTAGAAAAGTATTACAATCTTGGTACAAAAACTGTAAAATGGCAACACAAGAAACTGAGCTCCAGATTAAATTCAAATTCCGAAAATGACTACAGAGGAAGCTAAAAATTCGACGTAGTCAAATTTAAAATCAAACAACTGGAACAATTGATTCCTTAAGTTAGGTACTCCAAAACATTTATTTAAACCATGAATGCAATTTATACTTTTATTCTAAAATCCAGGATTTAAGGTACAACTTTACTTTTGATTAATATTTTAAAGATTTTATGCAGATTTTTTTGTGCTCTTTTTATCTCACTTAAATTTAAGGTTTAAATTTTATCACTGGAATCCTCAACAGCGAAATAAAACAGTTGGTACAACTTTTAAACCTGACACAAGGGTTATAATACAACATACTGCATCAGGAAGGAATCTGTCTGTAGAACCTAATCAAATGATGCCTACATTTTATGGGCCAGAAATGCAGGTAAGCATATTGTTCTCAGCATTATTAAATAATTAGATAGCCACAGCTGCTGTCTCTATTTTTTGTGCATCCATGCAACAAAGGTAATGGCTAGGGTGAAAGCTTTTACTCCTCGTATTTCCAGAATGGATATCTTGTCCTTCCCTAACTCAGTTTGAGCTGTGTTACCTTCACTGCTGCCAGCCTAATCGATAAATATGTGTTCTTCTTTGTTTTCTTATTTTTGCCTAGTTTTAGGAGAAGAGTTTCAATTTTTTCCTTTTCTTTACTTATTTCTTTTTGATGGATCAGAAGATTCCTATTCTTTGGACAGGATCGCAATGTGGTGTTGGACTGACGCTACACTGGCCCAACCGATTCTCCATGTTTCACTTTCCATTCTTATACAAACGCTCACACATAAGCCACACGCACATTAGCCCACACGCACACATAAGCGCATACACTTATATATGTATGTTCACTAATTTATTGTCTTACATACATGCGCCAAACAGGAGAAAATGTTATTTATGTACTTCTCTATCCCAATATATCATATATCGAGAAAAGATCAGGTATATCAGTAAACATTGATTGCGTAAATATTCCGCAATAAAATGTTGAATACCAAACGGAAGTCGAAATGCTACGAAATGATCTCAAGATATATTATATCATTTTGTAGACGAAATCGTCATCGTTTATTATTTATTTTTATAGGTTAGCTGTCACACTTATAGAGACTCACATAAAATGGAAACAGCTGAAAATTTTTGGAGAATCGTAACACGACCAATATCGGATGCTGCTCTTTTGGTACGTGCAGCAAAGGGAGAAAATATTCCAATGGAACTATTTGATTAAAACACTTTTTATATTTCGATTTTATTTTTTCTAATTACAACAATAGAGTGTATGATTCAAGTGCATATAAGTAAAAACGGGGTAAAAATATACATCGAACGGCGTTACGCCCTAATAGAGTCTAGGCCTCCAGAAAACTTATGATCCTCTTACGAGATCGTTTTCCACGTCATTGAACCTCCTAATAGACTAAGTTTTAAGAGACATTGGCTTGGATGACAGAGACGTCATTCAGGTTGGTAAATAAAAAAAAAGTCGATTTCTTCATTAGTTTAATTGAAGACGTTTCGCCTTCTATTTCTAAGGCTTCATCAGTTCTTTAAAATACCAACATATGAAAATGAGTTTATAAGATATACAGGTGTTAATAGTTCATAACTTACAACTCAATATGTAGTATATTCCCGATGTAATATGTACTGTACAATTTACTCAATATCTAAAACTAACATTCATATACGAAGATACAAAGATTTAGATATTTAAACCGGACATTTGGCTTCATTTAGAGATGTTTCTCCAATGAATACAAACATATTATATATATATATATATATATATATATATATATATATATATATATATATATATATATATATATATATATATGTATATATATACATAAATCTGCAAACATTACTTGACACCTGACAGTATCGTTAAGAGCTTTATGAAAGCATGATGTCTTGATCAGAACATACAGAAAACCAAAATACTCGTAATGAGTAGGTCAACAACAAAATATAATCCGTCTATATACGTAAATACACAAGAAAACTAAATTCGTGTAGTTGGCTGTATACCATGTATCACAAAAAAATTACTTAAAAATTTCATTTTAAAAGGTATAAATAAACCCTATCTGGATGTACATGTTAGGGCCACTAAATACATGGATAAAATCCCTATAAATGATGTATAATTAACTTTGATTTACAGTTTTGAAAATTACAATTTAGGATATTAAGTTAAAATAGGAATTGACTACATGGCAACGTAAGACTCCACTGAGGTGGCTAGTCCTTAGACGAAGACACTTCGAAGACAGACACATATGTAACATCGAAAAGGACCTACCTCCGGGGGTAGAGGAAAGGCACCGAATTCGAGACAGGCGCCTAATTTGAGACACCTTCGTATATTTGTGTTCGATAGGGTGACATCTAGTGAAAATATTGAAAACTGGTAATTTTGTAGTAGTAGTGGTAGATCTGCTTTTAGTTAACGCTTAGAAGTGACCTTTTTGTTTTTTTCGACGTTAATTTGATTTAATTTGATTAAATTTTTTTCAGGATTTATAAAAACTTACAATACATCAAGGTAAGATGATTACATTTACGTAAGATAATTATTTTTTTTTTTGTTAGTTTAATATTAGTTAATACATTATATGTAAATTAAACGGTAATTGTGTGGCATAGATAACCAAAAAAATGCGTTTTATTTTTAACAGAATATCCTAATTTGAGATACCTGTAAGTTCCAAATTTGAGAGTGTCAAATTAGGACCCCGTGTAAAATTTTTATGTGTTTTTTTGTTTGGAGCCCCGAAAAAATAAAAAATTGAACGGCAATTATATGGTAAGGGCTGTAAATACAGTAAGAAATAGAGATATGGACTATTTGAAGGAATCAAAAGTTTTTGGAGTACCAAAGGTTACCTTAGAACGATAAGCGAAATGAGAAAAGACTCCAGAAGAACTCGTCGGGATATCAATTGGCCGCCGACCTTATCTTCTTTGGAATTAAAAAATGAGTTGGTTGGGTATGCCCTAACTATGGAGCAACGTTATTTTGGGCTAAGAGCGCGTGATATAAAATGACTGGGATTTCAACTTGCAATACGAAACTCAATACCACATTCATTTAGCGGAGTCAAAAAATCAGCCGGAAAGAAATGGTTGAGGCACTTTCTAAAAAGTCATCCGACGCTTTCAATGCGTACTCCTCAGAAAATGTCATGTGCTCGAGTAAAATCCTGAAAATGTATACAAGTTCTTTGACCTGTATGAACCAGAATATCTTAAGTCTACTAACCCTGTACAACGTATATTCAATGTAGACGAAACGGGCCTTACAATTGTTCAGCATAAACAAAGTAAAGTAATTTCCATGAGAGGAAAGAAGCAGGTTTCGTCACTTCAGCAGAAAGTGGCAAGCTGATTACTGCTATTACATGTGTGAATGCTGCAGGAGTTTTCGTACCACCATTATTAATCTTCCCTAGAAAAAATATGAAAACAGAGTTGATGCTAGGAGCTCCTATTGAAGCAGTCGTAGAATGCCATGTGTCAGGTTGGGTACAGGCCAATATTTTCACTAGATGGCTTCAACACTTTATAAAATTCACTAAACCTTCAGCTGCAGACCCTGTTCTTCTCGTCCTTGATGATCACTATTCTCATACGAGAAACGTTACTCTAATAGATTTGGCCAAACAGAATCATGTGACAATTATTTGCTTCCCACTACATTCTACACATAAAATGAAACAGTTGGATGTTGCTTTTATGGCACCGCATATGAAAACTTATCACTACGCACAAGAAATAGAAAACTGAAAAATCAGTTGAGTGTTATGTTGCCTTATGCCGTTGCCAGTATTTTTTGTAAAGCGTATAACAAAGCTACGACGATGGAAATATCTTGCAATGGTTTCTGACAAACTGGACTGGTTCCTATTTGTCGACATATTTTTAGAGACTTTGAATTTGGAATTCAAGAGCACTTAGACACACAAAACAAAAGGGACGAACAAATAATAGAACCAAACCATGAACAACCAAATCATTCAATGCGAGAACATAGAACTCCTAGTCCACCACTACCTCATCAACAACTTGTTTCTCCGAACGTCATCTGTCCAATCCCTACATTCTACAAGAGATATGCCACTAAAAAGCCACATGCCAAATCAGGAAAGGCTTCATTCAGTAATTCCTCTAACACCCTACAAAGAAGAATTAGAGCAAAGTTTGCAGAAAAAAAAGCAAAAAAACTTGTACCCCAGCTAAACTTGGATTGTGTATTTGCTCCAGAAAAAAACAGTTCAACAAAGGGTGTTAGATAAAAAAACAGCAACGCCCGAAGAAAAAATAGCACATGAAGACGTAGGTCAACCTTCTACATCAAGAAGGAAGCGGAAAGTTTTTTCGAGTTTAAGCTCAGATAGCAGTGAAGACTTTCTATTAGCTGATTCATCGTTCAACGAAAGTGGAAAAAACGACGCGGAATGTTTATTTTGCAGCGGCTAATTTTCCGACGATGGATATAGCGAACGATGGGCAAAGTGTTAACAATGTGGCAGGTGGGCACATGAAGACTGGAGAAATAAAGTCCAGCACATTTATTTGCCTTTTCTGCGAAGGAAATGGCTTTTTTGAATAGTATCTCAAACTAAGGTACCTTAATAAATACTGATTGATAGATAATAGATACCTGGCTATACCAAATTAGGGTACGTTTTATTTTTAATATTAAAGTCGCAAAAAAATTAAATCTATTTTTTTGCAAAAATATGTTTTATTCGCATTTTTTTTTGTTGTGTTCTAGAAATATTAAAATTAAGTTTTTAAAATAAATGTTTTAAAATCCTTTGAATATTCTGTTTTATATTTGTTTTTCAAAAAAAGTGTCTCAAATTTGGTGCCTTCCCTCTACACATTTGCTGCTGGCTGGATGGGCACTAGCCCGATTGCCAAGAAAAAAAACCCTACCTCCGGCAAATCTTACAGTAGATAGACACATGCCACTGCCACCGTAGTTTAGCTATTCATTCCTCGCATTTGAATAACTTGGTCACATGTAAATGAATTTCAGAAAGTAACAAAAAGGAATCAAATGTGTTTTAGATTGTAAACCTAAAGATGAACAAGAAAGAATAAATAATTGTATTTATAAAGTACCTTGTGAATGCTGTCAGTTTTATTTAGGTGAAACATCAAGACCATTAAATGTTAGAATAAGTGAACATCAATCTTGTATTAAAACTAGAGAATTTTATAGATCTCAAATATGTAAACACGCATGGGAAAATGAACATAGGGTTTAATGAAATGATTCAAGTATAGTCCTAAAAGAAACAGATTGTGAAAGGAAGAAAATCAAAGAAGCGCCTCTAATTATGCGATATGAGACCAATTGTGTAGAAAATTATTCACATTTTCTACAATAGTTTATTTATTATTCTAATAATTATTATTATTCCACTAAATTGTCTTCTAAATTAAATTAAAGTCTATACGATCAGCACGACATCCCTTCTTCGTGCTGTTTCGTATCTTCTGCGCCTGCCAGAATTTTACATTAATCTATTCAAATCAACTACCCTTAACATCACTTCGTTGCTGCCTTCTCAAATAGAAGGACGTAAGTCAATTAATTTTTTCAGTTTCTCAAGTAGAAACAAGATAGTTCTGTTCTGTAATAAGTGTAATTTATTAGTTTATTTATAGATTAAATCAAAATACAAATTTAATTGTGAGTTATTTTCTTTAATTTGATATTTTTACATTTTAAGTTATATAATTTTTCCTTATTACTGTCGTTAATTTTATTTACATAAGCTTTTATTAACACATTAAAATATTTATCTGTAAAAGTCTTGTAACAATTTGTACATACATTTTGGAGAGTTTCTTGAAAGTCACATTTTAATTTCAATTTATATTTAACATTTTCAACGTTTTCTTTTATATAATTTTGAAAATACCTTTTAAATATTTCATTAATTTTATCTGAAGCTCCCTTGGCTTCATCATTTGTAAATTTAAAATTAGATGATTTCTCATATTTTTTAACTCTATTAAGGTATTGTCTAAAGAATAATTATTAAAAGAGTTACATACTGCATTTCTACATTGTTCGTGAGGAAATTGACTGCAAACCCATCCTAACACATAAGTCTCAGAATTTTTTTTCGATCATATCGTAATTGTCATTACTTATGTCGTTTTCAAGCATCATCAAAATGAACAAGCATCAATGTCGCTGTTGCTGTCCGC